CACTGCTCAGAATGGTACAGCCAGCAGAAAATTACTAAACTTACAGGAAAAACTCCGAAACTATTACTTGCTACCATCCAGGTTTTTCTGGAGTGCTGTTCACAGACACTGCTGGCAAGTGGCAGAATGAAAACTGATAAGAGAACTATAAAGTGTTAATAAATGGGAAAGGGTTGTAGGTAGAGAGCTACACGATCAGTCCTGACAGTGAGACTTCTCCCAGGTCCTCAGAGTGATTTCATCAGCTTCATCCTCCTGGCTGGGTGCTCTAGAACAGACTCCCACCAGGATGAAAATGAGCTACTCTAGCTCACTTTGAAAGATACCCAAAATAGTATTTTTTTTTATGCAGTCTGTGGTGYTTGCTGTTGATGAAGCATTAGCTCAGAAGATCTCTGTTTTGTCCTATTTTCACTGCAATAATCAAACCCTATGAATATTGATTTGATTATATAAACTGTCTCCTGTTCTAGAAGCCAATACTGTTCATGAACATAAACACGCTAGGACAAGAACAAACAAAAAGGGGACAGGAAAAAAATTCAAGAACAACCAAATCTTATTACATGTACTGATTCTAGGTCATAAAAAGAGCCTAAAACAAAGAGAATTTGGCAGTGGTTGGGAGTTTTTAATACAGAAGATTTTAAAATTGGACTTACAAAAAAAAACCCAAACAGTTCATTTTTGGGAATAGGCATGAACCCTCTCAGATCCTATCAAAAGCTACAAAGGGAATTAAAATACTGTCATAATTACATAAAAAAAACTCAAAACCAACCAAACAAAAAAAGAACCTTGAAATCAAAAAAGCTRTAAAACATGCAAAAGTGACAGGATTCATCAAATCATTGTGTTTTAGCATATATGAAAATGAGAAAAAATTTCCTGTCCAAAAATGACCGGTTATATTTGCAGAGGTGAATCAGATGTAGTCTCCTCTTCTGCCTGCAGATGCCATTACTGGATCAAATTAAATCTGAACTGCAGCTTGCAGTTTTCCTTCACCTAGAATTTTCAAGCAAGTACTAAAAGAATTTATTTACTGTTAACTTCTAAGACTGATACACATTTTTGAAAAAGCATAGCTAGACTGCACTTTCTTCTAAAAGCACATTTACACGTCTCAATAAAGATGGACTAACATTGGGTASTCTCAGAATCTTTATGTTTTTTTATTAATGTAATACTGTTTTTAAAATAAAGTATGAAACTGAAAAAATACCTATTTCTTATTCATTTCTTGAAGGCACTTCAATTATGAAGAGAATGTGTTTCATTGGTTAGACTGATCTTAATTTTACATTTTCAAATTAGAGTACAGCAGTCTGACCACCCCATCTCCCCATTTTATATTTAAATTAAAACAAAGCCCCCCTCCTTTTATGTCAGTCATTAAAATCCATAGGTCAAGTACCTATATTTCGATTTATTTTTTACCTGAAAGCTGACTGAAGAATGTTTTCCTGAAGGAAAAAGAGAAGACATTAAAGGAAATAACCAATCAACCAAAAATAAAATAAAATAAGCAATCCCAACAAACCCCCCACACCAACACAATAACCCACAAATCACAGATTACATCAATCAATACATATAACAAAGTCATGATGACTCCAGAAAACAATACATCCCAGTCAGATGTCTAAACATTTCTTCATAACACTTCCCACTCCCCCATGCATGTTCCCACCTGTTCACTCAAATTCTTTCAGTCACAGAACTGACTGTAGATTTGAGAGCCCCAAAACCTTTCAAGACCCAGTTTAGTGCTTTTAGCAGAAGCATGACTTTAGCTACTACAGTGACTAAGTTTCASCCCGAACCATAAAAGTTCTGTCTGTATAAGTGTGTGTGGATGATTCTGCTGGTACCTGTGGCTGCAGATGAAGAACTAATAGCTAGAAAACTTCAGCCAAAAAGAGGCAGMATACATTCTGAGGTGTGCAGCCCATCAAACTCTCAAAGACAACATGAGCCTCCACTTCAGTCAGAAGCTCACAGCTGTTGCTCCAACCTTGCAAACATGAGTGATTTTTACATGTGGGTGCAAGTGAAGTGTAAAAGAATAAGTGAAAGTACCTGCTGGAAGTAAACATCCTAATTTCTTTAATAACAGTTAATGAAAGGTATTTTAATAAACATTGGTTGTGATGCCAACTCCTTGTCATTGATAATTACAGATATACTGACCTACAGTTATAAATATACCTTACCTTAAGGTATATTACCTCCATAGATTAGTGGGACCTCAGCTCRGTGTGTGGATGTGTTAATGAAGCACGTTGGGAGAGCACTGGGCTCATGATGATGCATGGGCACTGTATAGATCATGAGATTGAAGTATCCAGTGATGTAACAAGGGCACCAAGCTGAACAAAACACTAGCAAAGGTAGGTTTTGTCAACATCTTACTCTGAAATAATGCATTAACAATGGGAATAAGAGAGGAATTGATTAGTTGACTGATTAGACTTGGTTAGCAGAGAAAAGGAAAAAACAAACAAAAAACAGCAAGAAAGGACAAAGGAAGGTCTCAAAATAAACTGAAGAAAATCAACAAGAAATTTACACTTGAAGTTCTAGAAATCAATGATCAGTTACACAATCTAGTTTTACTCTTTACATTTCCCATGCTTAGATACACAWTACTGAAGAACCAGTTATGTTTTTAAAACTCCAGCCAGATACAAAATACATTTATGCAAGTAGAAATATATCAGACTTCTCTTCATTTTAAAGCATAAAAAATCTGTACAAGTGAATGTATTTTCTCAACCCTTGAGCAAACTTGCAAAGGCCTTTATAATGAGAAAGCAATTGAGCATCACACGTCATGTAAGATGGAAATTATTAGGCACAAGAAAAATTGCTTAGTATTTTTGGTGGCAGGACTGCTAGGCATTTTTTTGACAAAGTACTACAGTACACTAGTCTTTAGGAAATAAATATGTAGGTTACTGGATCAGCATAATTACCTCCCCCATTTCCTCTACATCAGAAAAGCACAAAATCACTGCATAAAACATCAATTATAACTACAGTGTTAGTAAGGAAAGTTTTCAAAATAAAATGATTACTGATTCTAGTGTAGTCTTTTCACATAAAATAGTTCCAAGACTCTGACTTATCCTTGAAGACTGAAATTCTCAAAATATTCAACATTTTCACTCAGAAGGAGATGACACCTATGAATATTCACCTTGGAAGCTGTGCTGGTTTTGACTTAGGTAGGGTTAACTTTTTTCAACGTAGCTTGTATGGGACTGTGGTTTGGATTTGTGCTGAACACAGTGACAACAAAATAGAGATATTTTTGCTACTGCTGAGCAAAACTTAAAAAGAGCCAAGGCCTTTTCTGCTTCTCATACTGCCACACTGGTGAGAAGGCTGGGACAGGAGACTTAAAGTGACCAAAGGCATATTSCAGACCATGTGACATCATGCTGAGTATACAGAGGGGAAGAASATWGAAAGGRGAAAYATTCAGATTGATGGCATTTGTCTTCTTAAGTAACCATTACAYGTGATGGAGCCTTGCTTTACTGGGGATGGCTGAATACTGCCTGCCCTCTGAAAGCAGKGAATTGATTTCTTCTTTTGCTTGGCTTGTGTGCACTTTCTTGCTTTCCCTATTAAACTGTCTTGATGTCACTTTTACCCTTCCAGYTCTCTCCCCAGTCACACCAGGTGGCAGTGAGCGTGTGGCTGTGTGGGCTGAGTTGCCAGTTGGGRTTCAAACACAACAGCTCTTTTTCATGCCCAGCATGGGGCTCAAAAGGTTCAAGATAAGAACAGCTTTGATTGGGATGTGTTAGATAGCATTTATAGCCTTTAGTGTTATTTTGCTGCTTTGGGCAGACTCTTGTGCTTGCCTTGGACTTGATGCCATCTGGTTTTTTTTTTCCCCTGAGCTGCCAGGTAGACTTCCTCCCCCCAAACAAAGGCATCTGCCATTTTGTTCTTTCTGGCCACATGGCTGGCAGTTTTGTCCCTTCCCCTGGCATTTTGGGTTTGTTCTGCTGGGGGGGGTGGGTCACAGTTCTGAAGGTCCAATATCCAAGAGTTATTCATTTTTCTCCCATGTGGGAGTGCTGTGTGGGCACCTTCTTTGTGAAAAAAGTAGGGGTTTTCTTCACTTTCACTGATCATTATTCATTTCATATTGATGGGAAGAGATTGCTAAAACCCTTTTCTTTATGGGAAACACTCATTCCAGAGGATTTTCTCCTAAAATAGCCTCTAAAYTGAGACAATGGGTCCATGTGGAAGCAGAGATCCACCTGCAGCTCATGGAGGAGASCACATTGGAACAGGTGGATGCCTGAAGGAGTCATGGAGCAGGGGAGGAGATGCTCCAAGCATGGGACCTGCAGCCCATGGGGAAGACCACAGGAAGACCAAAATTCCTTGTTTTGCTTTGCTTGTGGGTGTGGCTTTTGCTTCCCCTATGAAACAGTCTTSACCTCAAGCCAGGAATTTTCTCACTTTTACCCTTCTGATTCTCCCCCATTGGTAGGGGAGTTAAGCAGTGGCTGTGTGATGCTTGGTGTCCAGCTGGGCTTAAACCACAAGAGAAGCACTGATGAAAAAAACTTAGGGATTTACCTTTTGAATTTCTCAGCACTGTTGTGACTAAATCATGCTCAGTCCAAGCCTCCTAAAACCCATGCAAATTAATTTCCATCATTCCTGTTAACTTGCATTGGCCTCAGCCAGCAGACTAAAAGTTAAGGTATTAAACAATCACAAAAAGCCCAAGGAAGTAGTTGATTGGGAAGTTCTCTACAACCTCATGGGATAATTTATACATTATTTGGGAAGAGATATGCTTCTATTCCAATATGAATACTMCTGAAAGCAATTTGAGCAATCAAAAGATAACTCACTAACAACAAACTCACAAACTTACTTCAGATCAGGTTGAAGAACAGCATCATTCATATTTAAGCCCAGATTTTTCAACGAACTAAAAACTACTTTAAAAAGCATTCATCAAATAAGGTTTTAAAGTACTTTTACTATCTCATTGTTTTTCTCTACATAAATAAACACAAAGTTTTTGCTCTGTTTAAAAAAAGGCATAAAAACACTTTCAAGTTGCAGCAGCATTGCAGGATCATAATGCAGCAGAGAAGAAGCAACAATTCAAAAAAATTAAATTATTTCTTGTAAACTTAGGTTGTAATAGATTTCTATCAAAACAAAAGGAATTATATTTTGAAGCTTGATGGCATCTTAAGGAACGTATTCTTTTCTTTGGTGAAATACTGAGTACTTATCCTCATACAAACATGTCATTTACTTTCATACCATTCACTCACTAATAATATTCACAATAAATTTTTAGCTTTTTACAGTATATTGCAATAGGAAGGAGTTCCCTTTAATTTCTTGATAATAACWTTTTATACCCATTCTACCCTACCAGGTGAAGGCTCTGGAGTCTGTGTGCATTCTGGAATCCCATTCCATTKCCGAGCAAATTCAACCTGACCTGTTTCAACCTGTCCTCCTCGAGTCTCAGTAGTTTCAYTGCAAATAGTTTGAGATTGCAGCGATGGCTGTCCTTGCTCAAGTTCAAAATTCATAATAAGGGAATCAACCAGAGAGTCCAATTCATCCAAGTTCATAAAAGGCACATGAAWTTTCTGGATAGGGTTGCTTGCAGAAGACAAGACAAATAAACTGAAGTAGTTGTTAAAATATCCGGCTATGACAGAAATATTTTCTGCAAAGCTCCTGAGAGGGCTMGTGTTTCTGTACAACCCTATGAAAAACAGAAACAAGAAAAATCAAATGCAGCAGTTTGCAAAGAGAGACCAAATAACCCTCTCTTGCTTTGCAAGTCTCCTGTAGCCCATAGGTTACAGGTGGTARCTCAGCTAAATACCTTGGAACATGGAAGAAACTATTTGACACACTTCAGTTAGGCACTGCTCCAATTCCAAATACTTCACAGCAATCTTAGTGCTTTTCTTTATTTCTCGATACAGAGATTCTTCTTCTGGTAACTGAGAYGCTGTTTCTTTCTGTATTAACGAAGAAAAATTTAAAGAAAACCAAATACATGAGAGTATATTAACTACTAAACATGCCTATTATGGTTTCAGTCACATAGGTCAAGCCAATGCTGAAACAAAAAAATCAAATTGATATTGGGTCATGTAAGATAGCACTGAAAAGAAGTGCACATTGTTGACAGAGTCAGAAAAAAAAAGAAAAAAAAAGCAAATTACTGGAAAATCCMGGAAATGCTTAGCTCTTAGATCAAATCCTCTATCCTGGCTTTTAATTCAAAATACCAGTAACTATGGTTATCATCTATGGCAGTAGTTATACAGCAATTACACTAGCATTACTGAGCTTCCAACTTAAAACACAACAGGTAGTTAGGCTGTTCAGGGTATGCACAAAAATGAAGATACAAGTACCTCATGAAATTCTTKATCTTAAGTTAAATTAAAAGAGCTTTGAGTGGAAATGCAGTAGCAAGGAAAGTYAGCATTCCAATCACCGTAATGTTGTTGTGACAGGATGTGTTACCATACAATAGAAAATACACAGAATGTCCATTTATGTGTGTATTTACACTTCTCTTCTTAGATAAATGCATACTTAAAATTTAAATACCAGACTCAAAGCACACATTTTTGTGAAACATTTCTCTTACCTTTCTGCAGTAAGACATGTTATTTTCAAGGAATCTGGCTAATGCCACCACAGTATCCTTTATTCGATTTTGAATCTAYAAAGAAACTTTCAATTATATTGTACACTTCATTCAAGTCAAAATACATTAAAAGAGTAAGATCACTGACGTACTAAAGAGAAAAATACACAAAAACAAAAATAACATTTTCTGCAATCTAACATGCAATTTTTCAAAGAAAATGTTAWCTGGTAGAAAACATTAATTACATCTGCAAGGTTTAAAACCCCTCACTACAGGAGGATCAAATTAACATATTTAAGTATTTGGTGAAGAAAAGTTGTCCTGAAATTTTGTATCACAATTTAAAATACAAGCACAAAACACAATCAAGTGTGTCCAAGACAGAGCAGCAGTTTTTATTCTTAATTTCATCTCACCTCATTTTGTGGATGTTGTTTCACAAGTTCTTTCTGTACCATTCTTGCTTTCTCCTGCACGGCATCAATGAGACACTCCAGTCCCGAGCCTACTCCATCATAAATGGCAAGCACAAATTCCTTTTAAAACAAATGTTCAAAATGCAATGGTTAAAGAAATTGATGTGGTCTTGAATTAAAACAGATTTTCTATAGTAGGCTAGAAATAATTATTCAGTGCAGGTCTATTCAGTCACATGTCTTCCTTGGTACACAGGAGTTCAGTTCAGATTTCTGTAAATTCAATGTGGTACTTAAAAACAGATTATTAAAATATAAGCAGGGATTTTCAGTGAAACAGATACCTGTATAATCTCAGTGCARGTACAATCCTAAAAGCACTGTACATTTCTTTCTCTTTATCAGTTTAAGTTACACATATTTAAAGGATGTAACTTTTAAGGAAAAAAATGTCAAGGATATTAATACACCTATTTTCACCTTAAATAGGAAGTATTAGAAAACTTCTAAATTTACTTAATTCAGTTGATGGAGTTCTTACATGTAACAATTTGCTTCTGAGTACAATTACTGATAATGAGTGTAACCTCAACACTTAAATTACTATTTGTAATCAGTATTTCAAAGAAACATTTTTTCACCTGTAGACTAGAGGCMGGAATGTTGTTCTCTTCAGGAAATGAAATACCAGCTGTTGTGACTACTGCCAAGTGGCCTATGTATTTCATTGTTTGTTTTACTGTTTGGTTTACTTTGCTCCATGCTTCTGTTACCATCGAGGATATATCTGAAGAACACCCCTGGGAAATAAAGGCACATRATTCACTGATGCCAGAAAGCACCTCTAGTCAAAGAACACACACTGTCTATGCAGCAAGAGTTAGTAGCATACAACATTCAGGCATTTTCAGCCTTACATCTTCCTACTTCCAATGGCTTATCCATCACAGCTAAAGTATCCTGCCTTGCAACTACAGAACAACAGTACCATAATGCTATATAGTTTAAAAAAAAGCCTTAAAAGGCTGGAGCATGAACAAAATTAATATTCACTGGCCACTGGCTTAAGTTTCGAAACAGCAGYACTTCACAGTCGAAATTTGCATTTGCTCTGGTCATTCTGTGTTTTATTTTACCATTTTATGTGTAAGAACCAATGCTTCTGTCAGGGCCTGGCCACAGAAGGTCTGCATTACTTTCCACTGGCATATGGAAGTACCAGCTTAGCCAGACAAAATGCAACCTTGGCCACTGATCTTCCTTAGGTGAGTTAGTTTGCTATTACACATATTGGACACTTCAGTGTTTTTAGCAAGTCTATAGTTAATACTGCATTAATGCAGAGAAATTCTCTATATACACAGATGAAGTCTTCAATATGCTTTACCTGCAACAGCAGCTGTAAATAACCTCCCAAGTTCTTTATTTCCTGTTTCATTTCTTCATCAACTTTCATGGATCCAGGACATTTTTGGATGTTATTAAGCCAGAGTTTACTTATAASCACAAGCTGGTCAAAAGCAGAGATAATTCTGATGCTGTATGACTGAGCAGCACGATCAAGAGAGAAAACTACAAGAGAAAGAGATCTGTCAGATCCATCTCCTTTACAAATGAATGTAGGAAYGTTAATTCTTGTGACTGACAAACACATGAATGCTTGTACACATGAAAGACAAGTCATCAGTAATGTTTAAGCCACTATGAAAATGAGACTTACAGTTTTCCTGACATTCTTCATCTTGCTGTTCATAGGCATTTGAAATGGCAGATGCTCCAGAAAAAATTATAAACAAATTAGTTAGGAGACTATCTGCTATGCTTTTTCCTCCTTCGTAAGTCTTTTCCAGTAAATCTAAAGCTGAGCTTATAGATTCCTTGCAAATTCCAGGGAGAAACGATTCAGAAAAGCTTGGGCATATAGTGGACTTGCTCTGTGAAKCTGTATGAAGTAAAAGCAAAATATACATATAAGAAACTCTTCATAGGAGTGAGCAGTCAGTGTGTCTTTGTAATGACTTTTATATAGACATTCACCTACTCAAAACAGTAATTTAAAMAAATGGGTACAATGTTCTAAATAGTTTATAAGACTAATTCCATAGTGAAATTCTTTAACATGAATACATTTGTTTCAACAATCAAATCTACAGAGAAATACRAAATTACAAAATCCAGCCCATCTATAATAACTGAATGCACACAAATATTTGGAAKACTGAGGCATCGTATATTTTAGGGAAAAAGGGTTTCTAAAACCTGGCCAAAAGCTTGGGGAAACATCAGTAATTGAATGAATAGCAACRACTCAAGCAAATTAAGTCTTTTTATTACTATATCAGGATTCAACCTTTTTCTCCAGTTAACCACATAGTTAAGCAGAGTTATGTTTTAGGTAAATTTCTTAAATTGGGTTCATAAAGTACTGCTCAGGAAGTTTTTGTCCTAAGAAAGGATAATCAAACATACAAAAACCCTTACCAAGTTAAGCAGCTTGACATTATGAATTTGAAGGTATCATAAACAGGACATTTTTAATTTTGCTTTCCAACCCACAGTTTTTTTAACAACTATTAGAAGCACCTACGTTTTATGCATATAGTAGGTTCAAATTGTCAGTATGAAATGAAAGGTGCTCTGCCATACAGCAAGTACCTGATATATAGGAAGTCTGTTTATTCTGAATAGATTGCAATTTTATCTCAGACAAACATCCAGAAATTCTCTTGTTCTTCATGAAGCTTCTACTTCTAAGACAGGATGATAAAATAAAAACATSAAAAACCTTGAAAAGAAAAGAATCTCTCCTCATCAAGCATTTCCATGATGAGCTACAGCTTGCACAAGTGTGCAAGTCAGTTATAAATATTGTTATAAGGCCAAAACGTCAAATACAAGGTCCCAGACCATATGCAATTTACTCCTTAAAAACAATATTTTGGTATTATAAAAGTGAGCAGAAAACACTAAAAAATCACACATTTCACTCTTCACTGATAATACATAGAGAAATGCTTTAGAAATCTCTACACACATAAGTTTTGTTCCTATTTTTCGTCCATGAGGAAATCCAAGAGAATGAGTGAATACAAGAGAAGACTCATCAGATGACACRGTGTATGAGAGTGGAACAAAAGCATATTTAGATAATCACACTTTTTTTTACTTTGTTTTAAGCATAGAAGAGTAGCTCCAAATTATTTTTACCTTCTTCTGGAAAGCGAGGAAATGGAMCTATCTGAAAGGTCAGGTTCCCACTCATCAGCAGGATCATAAAACACATCAACAACAGCTTTATTTCTATCATTACTCTGAAAGAATAGAGAAAACATGGGAGGAAGAGGGTTAAACAGAAAAAGTGATAAAAAGTAGTCAATGTAYGGATAAACAAAACATAATGAAAACTCAAGTGATACCTTTAGAAAATTAATTTTTCATTTAGAATATAAAACAATTTAACAACCAAAAGAACCACAAAGCAATCCTTGTTTTATTGCTTCCTACTCTACACAAAATGACCTGAATAAAGCAATTGGTTTCTACTGTACTCTTTTTGTTTGATGGGAAGTGCATATACATGTTTTTCGTAAAAAGTAGCCACGTGTCTTGGTGTTTAGGATCACATGAAACCAAAAAATCCACCAAGATTTTCCTCCTGTATGCATTATCAAAATCTTATCTTTGACAAAACATCATCGATTATTAGTTGTTGTTCTTCAATTGTTACTGACCTCATAGAGCTCTTTCATTGCWGCTAGTTTACATTCAAACTTCTCTAGGCTCCAAAAAGTTGTTATTCCCAGCTTGATGTTACRAACCTGCACCTGAATAGAAGACACTGTTCCTGTTTTGTCATCAATTTTGTCATGCCTAAGAATTTGAGAAATTAAAAAAAAGAAAGATGAAAATCAAGACAAAACATTCATATTGCAAAAATAAACAAGGTACTTGTAGGTATGATTATACAGAGACTAAAAATGTAACATCAACACCAAAATTTCTTGAGACATCAGGCATTTCACAGTTATCATGCTTTAGTACCACTTTAAYATGTGAACCAAAGCAGAATGCACATGGACATCAGAAGATTCAGCTCCAAAGCACACTCAATTCAAAATTAATTATCTATAGCATATCTTTAAAGTTTCGATCTAAAATTCAAATTAGAAATTCACATTTCAAAGTGACAAGGCTCAACTACACACTTAACTAACACTAGTTTGGAAAATTCATTTATCACTTTCAATTGCATAAGACTGTTACAAGAAACACCAACAATTAACTGCACCTCCAGAATCCACCCCCAATTATATTCATATATGTTATATATCCATTAATATGCATATACATATAATTAACTAACTTACTCACCTGCAGAAAACTGTGTTTTTCCCTAATTCATTACTAATGGTGTTAGCTTCTTTAATCATCACAGACAGTTTCAGACACTTCCAGTTAAGTGGAACTAATAAAGAATATGGAACATAATGATTAAGTGAACCAAACAATGAGATGCAACGACTTTAGGGTTAAAAAAATAAAAGGCAGAAAAAAAMCCACAACCTAAAAGCACAAATGTAATTTAGCCAGCAATAGTTTCAAGAATTTCCAATACACTGGGAAACAATTACCCTCCCAGGCAAGATAACCCTTTTAAATAGTTGGGTAAAGGGTATTTCAGAAACAGAGGCATAAGACCAGATACTATACTATTATTAATCCAAGATAGAAAAACTGAGCAAAATGAAATCCGTTACTCCAGTTTCACCAATGAGTTAATGCCTGACCAATAGAGACAGACAGGGAAGGACCTTTAAGTAACTGGGATAAATACAGACTACATGTACATCCACCTAACCACCCAGAGTGTGATAAAAGCTCTGGGTGGTTTTAAAGACAGCCCAATACATACAACTGATGAATACAAAGGCTTGTAACAAGCAGAAGGCTCTTCTTGTTCAGGATCATTAGCAGWAGTTCCTGTATCAATATCCATGGCCCATTCCCACTGAGCAAAAGAGAAGACAGCATTGCCTTTGCTACATTGTGCATATACATACTCATCATTGCTTTATTCCCACTTCCATGATTCTTCTGCAGGGTTTGTATTTCCTCAGCAATCTTCTGCTTCTCAGCTTCCAGCGCTTCCAGTATCTTGGCATGACGAATAGTATGATCCTCTAGAGCCTGGAGGAAGAATGGGCAGTAATTAAAAAACAAAAATCTAAAACACTTAAAGCTGCTTGTTGAAGCAATTTTTTGTTCCTGTCATTTTAAAGACTGACAGAATTAGTTTGATACTGGACATTTGCTATACTGATATAAAAGAATTAATTTTCAAACTGACAATTTTCTGGATTTGCTTGCATATTGCAATGCTCAAACAACACGCTGGAATTAAAAAGGAATAGCTTTTAAAAAGTAAATTGTATTTGCTGTAGCAATCAGATATATATGAACACCAGCCAAGACTCAGTCATTACTTACATTAATGCCTGGAGTAACTGTTGCCAAAGGCAACAGTTGTTAAATTTTGGTGCAGAAACAAAACCATACACATWACTAAATAAGTAAGGTCAGCATTAATTAATTCCCAACATTCATACATTACCATACTCAGCCTGCAAACAAAACAACAGTTATTCTTCATAAAATCATGTAAAAATACTTACAAGCATTTCCTTTGCAATAACTGATT